GGCAGTATTGTTGGAACAGCATCTTTGTTCAGTTTGAAATTCTTTTTTAATCCAATTTCCTTAGCGAGCATTGTGGACTGGTCGAAACACGATCTTTCAAAGTGCTGCCCACAAATTGTAGGTTTCATCGACCCCGGGTTACCTGGACCAGCAAAGTCCGCCCTCGTACGACGCGCTTGTTTGGTCCATATACGCGACATTTGATAATTTTTTGGCCACAAAAACATCCCATAGCCAGATTTGGAGACGGCCCCACATCCCCATACCACACATCGCTTGCCGATTATTCTTCACGTTTTGTTGTTGTGCATCCTTTGTTTTAATATTTGCCGCTTCAAGGCATTTAAACAATGGTGACTCAGCTGTGTTCTGCTCAGCTGTGTTCTACTCATGACGTCACCGCCGGAAATGACCGAAGTTGTTTCCAGAGCTACGAACGATCGTTACTAACTGACAACATTTGTATGCTGTTATAATCGTGATTTATTAAAAAATACATCAATAATAAAAAAAACATATGGCACATTTCACAATACAAATGCAACCTCTATCATATACTAAGCCCACTAACAGGTGCTAAAAGCATTTCGTAAGCTCTTTAAACTTGGTAAAAGGGTGTAGCGTGGGCAAAGGAAGAACAGATTTGATTTGAGGCATGAGCACATTATGTTTTATTCTCTGAGTAAAGCGGGCCCTTTAGTAATACATGTTGATGGACTAACAGGCTAAAAACAGTCTGCAGTTCAGTAGCTCCGCTAGCAGAAATTCAGAGGGAACAATTGTTTGACAGAGTGATCCCCAGAGGTAGTATTAACATTTTAAATGATTGTAGTTATTTTAGACACTATGCTCAATGGATAATGACACTTCAAATTTCTCATTGCAAATAGGTCATGCCACTTTGAGCATTAGGGTGTAAGGAGAAGTATGGCTTTTGAGTGACCTCTACATGAGTCACTTTTTACTGAAACAGAAATGTTCACATAGGAAGTATCACAAACATTTAGTCATAAAGACAGGGGCATCCTTGAACTCTGTGGGCAGCTCGGATGCTCACACAACAAATAAAGACACTAAAGAAGCGTTCATAAAAGGTATACATTGGAATGGTTTGGATTTGTGTCTCAGAGTGATCTGTCTAAGTTCTTCCGAGAGCAACACTGACTCAGTGATTACATCACTGCCTTCAGCCAACTCAAGGACGCACAAAATCAATGCTCTTGATGCAAATGCACAGTGGGAATTAACTTTAAAGCTAATAACATTAAGCTGGGAGCGCTGCGATGTCGGCCCACATTGTAATGTTATGTAAATCTGACCATATGACAGCTTAATTTAAATGGGAGTGTGCCAGATTATGCACAACAGTGGCCCATTTTGCTCCCTCGTCCTCATCCCTGCAACCCGGTAAATAGCTTAAGCCACTCATTCTAATAAAAAGACAAACAAATAAATAAAAACATTCAACAAATTTAGAAGCAGGGCCCTGGAGACTCAACGCTGGAATTGTATGCAGAGGAAGAAATTGGAGAGTACAGAATGTTGGCTGGAGGGCCCATCACTCAATTTGTTGGTAAACATCAGATTTATGTTCAGTAAATCCTCGGCTAAACTGCTGAAGGGCTCCTCTCTCCCTGTGTGTCTCACACAAACACACACAATCACCTCCAGCATATTTTGAAAAAAATGACTAGGAAACCTTGATGTTGCTTCTAGCAGAGTACTAGGGTGTGAGAATACACTGTACTCTAAGGATCAGCCACTGTATCTACTGTAAGCATCAGGTTGGCCATAGTTAAATATTTGTGTTTGATTTTGAATTCCATCCAACAGCGCTGGTGCTGATTGTTTTTTCCGACAAACAAAAGTGTTCCTTGTTTTGTCCACAGACATTACTTTGCCCGCTATAACATTTCAGAAGGCTGTTTTAATGTAGCAATCTGCAGGGGAGAACATGCTCAGTGACTTACTGCTGATATGCAGCACACAAGTAAAGATAATTAAGTCAGTTTGGAAGGCAACAGTAGGAAACAGGAGGTCTTTAAATGATTCTAACCACTCCATCAGGCTGATCCCAGCAGTAAGCATACTTGAGTGCATTTGCTGAACATGGCCACAAGAAGAGGAGAGTGCACACTGTGTGTCTGTGTAATTAAAGCGTCGTCCCAGAGCGGTGTAGGATTTCTATTAAGCAGGTGATTCTCCTGTATAAAGTGTTTGGGGAGCCGCAGCCTGACAGGGGCAATGAATGGAGGTGTGTGAGCGCGGGGCGTTCACTGCCACTGAAGGGCTTTTAAATGACTGTTGAAGAGAGGGAAGCAGCCCTGGGTTACTTGTTGGGAATAAATTCCTCTCATCTGCAGGTAGTCATACAGGGCAGGGCTAAATAAGAAAGGGATGCATTTTAATATGTTCTCACATAATTGTATAAATATACTGCAAAAGACAGAAAAAGTACATAGACATGACGCCACTGCAAAGGTTTTATTGAAGAAAGAAAAAAGAAACACCAGTTGACTACAGGCCCCTTCCAATGACCCCCAACAGATGCTTCACCAACACCACAGGGTCCAGCTTCTCATTCAGACTCTGCTGCTGCTGCAGCCTCACACTGCGGCTGAAACATCTTCAACTTCGGTAAAGAGTCATGGCACCATCTTTGAGGGAGGCAACATATGGAGCACACAGCAACAGTATGGTGACTGTACTGCACAGACACGGGCAGAAACAAAGACAGTAGACCACCCAAATACATCAAACTAAATCAAAAGAAGCAGTATGGTCTTTATACTTCTTTAAGTCAGATGTGTTCACAGACTGTCCATAATAATATACTGTAGCAACAGGAGAGTTTAAAACAGCTTTTATGGCACATGAGGTTTAACTCTGTGAATGAGTACACTTTGTACAAACATGCTAATAAGCCAATAATAAAATATATAACAATAAAAAAATGTCTAAAACACAAGAGAGTGCTGCCCCCTATAGTTTCCCAGCTAGCTGTTAACAGCCTGCCTGCCGTGATAATTCTCCGTGGGTTTGTCCTGATGAGTGACATACATTTCCATCACACATTTGAGTGTGCGGCTTTAGAACAACGTCACATCCTTTACCAAGCCACAGCTCTTTCATCTGGACTTTAACACAGCACGGGGTGTTGTTAGCATGTGCTGCTAACAACACTTCTGGTTGGTCCAACGTTAAATAAGAATTGTATATAAGCACTACTGCACGGCTTTTGTTCACCTGGATGTTTAGTCACTCTGAAATCTTTATTGTGACACACCTAACCCTGTGTGATTACCCCAGCCCGTAAGGAGGGGCGCTGTCAATGCTAACTGAGCCGGATCCCCAGCCCCTCCCTGAGCGCTGAAAACCAACAAACAAATGTGACATCATGTTATAAAGAGGGTCTTCTTCACCTTTGTTGCCTAACAACCAGTCCCCATCATATGGCTTACTGAGTCAGCTGCCAAACAGCTGACCTCATGGCTCAGTACCTGAAAAAAAAACTTGAAAAAAGTGTTTTCTGTACTAGAGAATATTTTTGTCCTCAAACTAATTATAGTAATCTATTTAAATACCTAGTTATATGAAATAAAAGGTGTTAGATATGACAGAACATGGTGTTCCCATCTGAATTTGATATTTATAACAAGCCTTTAAGATCCATTACAATGCACTGGTGAGTTGCACTGAGTTCAGTTCGCCCAGCCTTGGATGGTGAAACAGTGTTTTCATCCTCATGTAGAAGATGTGTCCTGGCAAAGGTCTGATGAATGTTTATTTATGAATTATTTATATTATTGGGCTTATTAGCAAAGTTATGCACAGAGTGTAACCGTGGGTAAAACATGGCTCACAAAGCTTTGTAACCAGAGTAACGGATTACAGTGCACAAACATGTTGGTATAACCATCTGCTATCCTAATGGCACTAAACAGATAACACATCTGTTATCGGGGCTGAGGAACACTGTAAACCAACAGCAGACCTTAATACTACTCAGACTTTGTTGTTTAAAGGCACCCTGTGTGAGTTTTCCTGTAAACACCCAAATGCAAACAAAATGAATGAATTTCCTTTGTAAATAAACATTTGCAGAGTCGACTGTTTGCACACTTTAGCTGTTACCTTCTGTTGCATGTTAACAGCTGTTAACTGTAGTCCTCTGCCTTTGCTGCTTCTCTTCAAACATGGCTTTCACCAACTGAGGATCAGTGGAGTATCAACAAACCATTTCTAAATGTTTGCATCAGATCAACCCCGATCTGAGAGCCTGCAGCCAGGGACAGATTACAACACCAAGATCCTGAGACCTAAAGAGACACAACATGTCCACACACTAACCCGTGTTTTCATAGAGACGTTTTTGAGTTTGTTTGTTTTGAGTGTGTTTTTAAATTGTTGTAACTATGTGTCTTTTTTTTGCCCGCTTGCGCCTGGACTAAGTGATACACAGTCACTTCCTGCAGAGGTTCTCAGAGCTGCACATTATGTTGTTCTTCATCGGTTATTGTGTTACTCATTGTTAAAATGAGACTGCACTCGGCCAGGCCTTTGCTCAATGAGAACCCAATCATGAAAACATGGTTCCACAGCTAGCGGTGAAAAGTCCACAGGGTTCCTTTAACTCAGAAACATCACATTGCTCTAGTAATTAAAAAAGTAACTATCAAATCAAACAGTGAATCTGCTGGTCAAACGACTGGATGGAAAAAATAATAAAATCACTTTGTGGGAAACTGTCATGGTCCCTTCTTCGCCCATTACCTTGACACACACTAAATATAAAAGACATTGTCACTGGTACGACAACACTGACACACAGCACAGTGACACAAAGTCACACAGTACCCACGGCATGGTTTCTATTAAAGCATCATTATAAGGACACTTGTGCTTTAATCTGTACAGGTAAAATATTTCCTTATTCATAATATGTCTTATAAAGTGTCGATGCAATTAACATCAAAAATTGCATAGCCATTCATAATCTGTTATTTCTATCAGACTTACAAAACAATCACTAATGTAATCTAATCATTCTCTGCTCGAAAACCATATCATAAAACTCAGATAATAGGCCCTTTCTATTTGAATGGAATGCCATGATTGTACTGTTCAGGCCAACAGAAAATATAAAACATAACAGCAAGTTCAATTAGAAAGTAAAAGATTGTTAAAAAGGGAATGGCTGCCTACTGAGGGTTTGTCTTTGACACTCACACTACTATTGAGGATGACTGTGGTCCCGTTATGTGTAAAATAGTTGCACACAGAATATGTACACAGTGAATACGGCAGTTTAGATTCTTTGGTGTTCAGTAAAGTGTTTTGAAGTAATAAGCTCCTGTGATAATATGTTCCCTATTAGTGTACCGTATGTCTGTGTGACAAACACTACAATGACAAAAATGCTCTGACCAACAAACAGGTTTCCTAAATACTGATAAAGCTACAGTCATACACATATCTGCTCCTGTCATCCATGTCACATGTTGGAGTCAGACTCCCTTCATATCCAAAGAACCCATCGGCAGGACATTTAAATACATACGCACTCAGGTGAGGACAAGCTGGAGGATTATGATACGAGATAATAACACTGAGTGAAGATATATTGTTTTACTGTTAACTGCTTCGTTTAAAGATTTGAGATTTTGGGAAATATTTGTTTTTTCTTTTGAGACTCAGAACAGAAGATTGAAGTCGTTTTTTGATATGCACGCTCAGCACATGTGGACATATTAAACTGAGCTTAGCATAAAGAGTAGAACTAGTGAACCAGGGGAACATAGAGTTTTGGTGAGTAAAAACATTGTTAAGGAACTTAAAAAGTGAATTTTTATTTCACCTGTTCTTACGTCATAAACACAGAAGAGATAAATATCTAGATCTGAATAGGATTTTTCTTTGGCAGCAGGCTATCTGTATCACGTTTTATTCTTGTCTGAACGCCTGCTGTATAACATATAAAACATAGTGACATAGTGCATCAGATCAAAACCATTTCCCAAAATCTCGAACCACTCCTTAACACAGTTAAACATCTCACAGCCTCTCCTGCTGTGATGTACCGAGTCAATAGATACATGTGATGCTATGTACTGAGAGAGTGTGTGTGTGTGTGCTGAGGAATGCAAGCTTCTGTGGATGGGTACGTTTGTGAGAGAGTGAGCGGTGTGTGTTATCACGGGGGGGGGGGTGTTCAGAGGTCGGTGGTGGCTTTGGCGGTCAGGTCCTGGATGCGGCTGCTGTTACAGTTCTTGCAGAGGACGTGTCCGTCCAGAGGGTAGCAGCCCTGGTTGTCCCCCTCTGACAGCAGAGAGCCACAGTCCTGCAGGACACACACACACACACACACACACACACATTACAGAGTCATTATGCACACTCACAGCTGAGACACAGTCCCTCTCTCTGTGTTCACAACCTAATTGAGACATTTAGTGCGTTTGAACCCATCCAGTGTGTTTCAGGAGGCTCTCTGTGAGGCGGGAGCAGAGTTCAGTTCCTACCAGCTGCTGATTCTCGAATATAATTTACGTAAAGTTATGAAATAGACGATATAAATATATGATAAATAATCTCTGAGATTAAAAAGTCATACATTCACAGGGAAAAAAACTGAAGGAACCACGTCACTTGAATGTTCAAGGTTGTTATCTAGCCGTGCTCTGATTCCACCAATACAAATATCACAGACAGACCTGTGGAGGTGACTGTCTGCTGATGGTTGGTTACCTGGCAGGGCCCACAGACGCTTTAGAGATGAGAGAAGGGGAAATGTTTCTCTGCTAAAGCAGTGTGTGCAAAACACAGACATATACACACACTTCTTTTTACATCATCCTTACTCGATGGCTGTGCGCACACACGCACACACACACTGAGAATTACGAATATGCATCTACTCATGTCTCCGTGGTGACGAGATGCGTCTGTTGGTGCTGAACTAATCTGCTCTGCTTTCCTTTGACCTTTGTGTCTGCCAGGCTCTGTACACACACGGCTCTTTGACAACGTGACGCGTTACTTCTCTTTTCGCTAGCGCGTCGTGTCGCAGCGCCGCTTATCAGCCAGCGCGGCTGACAGAGTGCTTACTGTGTGAGCCTGAACTTTGCAGAGGAGAGATGGAGGGAGGATTCAGACCTGGCTGCCAAGGAGACGAGCACGATATGCATCCAGAACATAATGACTGTCGACTACAGAGCTCAAACAGAGCTCACACACAGAACACACCTCGCAGCGGTAACACTGCACGTGGAAGTCTCGGTCCAGGGCCACGATCCGGACGGTCTCCTCCTGGCCCGGCGCCGGCATGATGGGCTCAGAGCACACACAGCAGCGCGGAGCAAACTTCCTTCAACACACAAGCAGGAAGAACAGAACATGCTGTTTGAGACTGTGCACACACAGCTAACAATGCTTTTATTATTGATTAGTCAGCCTGATACTCTCTTGAGTAATCGGTTACAACTGATGGGTACATATTACTTGACAAAAGAGAGCAGCAGAACTAATAATATGTTACTGCTGTAGTAAAGAAGCTATTGCCTTTCTTGTCAAATAATCAACTCTATCTACACAATGAAGAAAATGACTTGAGCTTATTCCACTTTAAAAGTTGTAATGATACATTCTTGGATACACAGGGGTGTTAAAATGATTTGGATTTAGCTTTATGTATAATCTTTGGATGTCTAACAACTTGAATGTATGGAGGAGTTAACAAGTAAATTAATCAAAGTTATAATGAAATAAATAATCATACATTGTTGTATTGTTAATTACCGGTACGTAATGACTGTTCAGGTTTATCTTGTGACCCCTATAAGTATGGTACCACTGGCCAACCAATGGGTCAAAGCAGGGTCTCAGTTCTTCACACCAGAATAAACATAGCACAAATGATTAAGACCAATATTGCCCACACATGATTAAAGAGGTTTTCAAACAGAGGCACAGCCTGTGCATGTTCCTGTGTTTCATTATGCATGCACTTCCCCACTAGAGTCTAAACTGTCTCTGAAATGCTGCATATAAATGGTGTATTTGAGGAAAAGCTAAACATAGTAGGACCTTTACAAATACCAGAAGTGACTTTGAAATGAGTATGTGTGGGAATGCCTTCAGCAGGAAGAGGTGTGTCTAACTATAGGATCAGAGAGGATATGAAAGCAGGCTCAGACCTCAGGTCAACTGACTGACGGCTGTGGACTCTACCTGAGACATTGACTGCATGCTGGGAATCAGGAAGTGAAGGAGCTTTGAGAAACCACAGTACAGTATTCTCAGAGCGAGATTATTCCTCGACATAAAGAGGCGCGCGGCTCAGGTCACACCTGTCACGTGGAATTAAATGACGGCCCAGTGCAGCTCCTCTAAAGCCAAAAGCTGAGCACTCACACCAAGAGCCCGCTGTTTACTTCTGTTTCCCTTCTGGTCACTGACTAAAGCAACATTTCTGGGAAGGTTAGGGTTATGCAATGGGTGGAGACACATTGACAGGAACTTACTATTACATTCATGTTAGCCACATCTCATAAGGTCATTGTGCTTGTGGCATTGCTGGCAATATTTCCCTGAAAAGAAAGCCCCATGATGTGATATCTAACTGAATATGTCAGTAAGCAAATGATTTAAAACCATTAGTTGATTTGAAATTGAGTTCTTAAGTAAAAGCATTCTTGTTGATATTTGTTTGTTGTTGTACTTTTTAGTGCTTCATTTGATATTGAGGTTATCCAAAGGTCATGGAAATGTATCAGGTTACATTACTTTAGATTGTGATACTTAGGTTCAAACACACATCATATTTTATTGTAATGATTAGATTAGAGTTATTGTCCCCTGGGGGAAATTCATTTTCACAGCACTGTACACGTACACAATAAATATACAATATATAAACAACAACAATAACACAGACAACAACAGACAGTGCCACACTATATATAAATACATATTCAAAGGAACCCTCCAAACCAGTATTTTTGTTTTAAATGTATTGGACTGGTAGGGTACAGACTATTATCTTTTCCTGTCAACATGTACAGTATATATTTAACTTTTTAGTTCGGTATTTTTTTTCTGTTAGGAGATGTTTATATTTTAAGTTTGTTTATTTTCTACTCTTCATATTTTCACATTTTGTGCAATGCCTTGTTGTAACATGCTGATGTGACATCAAAACGGGCCAATGTGGGATACATGGAGTAAATCTTATCTTATCTGAACTACGTACTTGTGGAAGTCCTCGATGCAGTGGATGTGGTTGGAGGCGTCCACGGTGAAGGGCACTCCGTCCAGGCTGCGGCTGCACACCACGCAGGTGAAGCAGTGGGGGTGGTACGCCTTCCCCGTGGCCCGCAGGATGCGCTCCATGATGGGCTTACTGCAGATGGTGCAGGTCTCAAGGGTGTTCTGCACACACACACACACACACACACACACACACACACACACACACACACACACACACACACACACACACACACACAACTCCGTTACTACGTACGTACGTATAACACTACTACGTAACGTACGTACACACACACACACACACACACACACACACACACACACACACACACACACACACACACACACACACACACACACACACACACACACACACACACACATCTCATGATGAATGTAATCACTTAAAATGAGCACTTGTCTGCTAATAGAGTTGAACCACAATATCCGAATAAATATTTTTCTGCATTTCTTGAAGTTTTGTGCCAGTGTTTCACTTCAGGGGGCACAGCTACTATTCTCTCCCGTGCTACATATAAATCCACGCCCAGGACCTTTGGCTCTGCTGTCCTCGAATACCTCGGTATCTGATTAGCACTCCTCTTGAAACACAAACACGCTCATTTCTCATTGGCCCTCGCCCACACTTCATCCTCCCATATGCAAGAATGAGAGCAGTAAATATTTCCACTTTGTGATGACTGCAGGGGTTTTTGCAGCCAGGCGACTGGGCAAGCGGCCTGGGGGGAGGGGGGACGTGGTGGCCGCCTGCCACTGACTTATCTGTGGCATCTCTCTTCCTTAAATCTGCCGGGAGACGCCGTTTGTTATTTCAATATTTCATAAATAACGACCGCCTTTCTAAACAGCAATGCAATTACTGGGGATGGATATATCATGTGAGGGTGATCAATGTGCGGCCTGAGAGAGCTGATGGGCCTCGCTGCCTCTCGCTCAGGCATTTCCTGGATCTCTGTGTCTCTCTGCCCCCCGCCCCCCTCTCTGTGCTTGACTGGGCTAAACAGTGCACGGTTCAGCTGCTCCATTGGTAGCAGAGCTGCTCAGTGTTTCCAAACACAGCTCGGGGTGTGTAGCAACACTGCGCTGCGTCATCGGCTGCCTCCAGAGTTTCAGATGACACTTGTGTGACCGCTCGGCTGAGGTGAACCCCCCCAGTCTGGCTGCCGAGCACGTGCACTGACATTTATAGTCGCTATGCTAATGAGCACAGCAGCTTTACAGAACGAGGTTCAGTGTCCCTGACATACCTCCATGTGGTGACTCCTCACAGCACTGATCTTGGGTCAGGCTAAGAGGCCAACATGAGACAGGCTGATGTATGACTCCAGGCTGTAGAAAAAGGTGGTTTGAAAAATGGCTGTTACTTCAAAGCACTCCTGGAGAGGCATTATTTCCTGAAAAGCAATTTGTGCAGACAAGCTCTGCATTCTGATTCCTCTCCCTTTTTTTTTTCCCCCTCCAAGAAGGTAATAGAAATAAACATTATTCCCAGGGCAACATTTGTGTATAAACAATGTCCATATTGCAATCCTGCCTGATCCTGGAAGTGGAATGAAGCTTTTAATGAGCTCGCTGCACTAAGCCCCAGAGGTTTGCCACACACACACACACACACACACACACACACACACACACACACACACACACACACACACACACACACACACACACACACACACACACACACACACACACACAGAGGTAGAGAGACAATATGAGACGTGAGAATGAGAGTGGGGTACCGGCCCAAACAGCACTAAACCGTCATCAACTCTTCCTCATCTGTCTACAATCCCACTTCCTTATTCTCATCTGCCCTTCATGTGGGAATACCTTGCCCTTGTTTAGCTTAACTAGAGCATATGATTTCACAGCACACAGTTCCTCCGGGCCATTATAATGAGTACAGTACTCAAAAGACAAAATTCCTCTCTTTTTCTCCGATGGTAAGATTCTATGACCTCAATTCATTCATTCTGCTCAGCTTCTATTGTGTTTTTATTCACTCGTGACTGCTTTTATTTTGTGTAAGCTAACATTTAGCATTCCTGTTACACAAATCTAATTTCAAAACAAAAAATGTACAAGTCTTCTGGTCTGTGTTTGGGTCCGACCTCCACAGATGGTTCAGGACATTCTGCACGATCACTTCATGCCCTTTCTGTCAGACACCCATGTCCTCTACAGTCTGCCACTAGAGGGCTGTATGTGTCTGCGGATGTCCGGGGTTTACTTCTCCCCTGACTAAATGTGATGTATTCAAGCATATGTAGCCCCCACCCCCCCTTCCCCTCTGCCTCATACATTTCTCTAAGTGTTTGCCCAGAAGGCTAAACAAATGTCTAGGCAGATGAGGTAAAAGTGAATCTGGGTCAGACAGCCTCTTGCTGAACTGAGGGGTGAGTAGAGTGCGTTAAAGTCAATTGTGGCCCCCTTTCTTCAAAGTGATATGATGATCTCACAAAGAGCAGCGCAGTCCGGCACATTATTTAGCAACACGCTTCCTGTCAGAGTGTTGAGTGTGTTGGCAAACAGAGCGTGGGGGGGGGGGACAGAGACAGAGAGGAAAACCTCTCATCACTAACTCTCATTCTGAGTCTTGTATTTAAAAAATGTCAATGGAGTGAGATCATTTCATTTATGTCTGTTTCAATCCACTTTAATTCATTTGTTATTTAATTAGATCAAATGACACTGCCTTAGAGTAACTTTCATTTTAAACAAGTTAAGTACAACTAAAAACCAGTAAAAGATATTACTGAGAATGTCTATTCTATTCTATTCTATAGTATTTTAACACACACCCATTAGTTGACTAAATGACATGAGATAAGAATAAGGCCGACAGCTTTCCATTTGAAGATCATTTTCTTCATTAATTGATTATTCTCACAGTCTGTAAATATGATATAGATATGCAGTTTCCTGTATTCCCCCAGGACAGACATTACACAGTAGCCAATGCAGGAAGAAACAGCGATACAACATGTCCACATTTATACTAACCAGCGAGAAAAACGATATGAAATAAGATAAACACAGGCACATTGAGTCACTTCCCACTTGACGATTAAAACAAGCTTGAAAACCATATAGTAAATCAAAAATGCCCAATGAGGCCAGCTCATTTTAAGTTGAATAAACAATAAGTCAGTCTCAAGTGATTTTTTAAATTGCTTCGTGTTACTGGTAGGTTGCATTGTAATTATGTTTCATGCAACTTGTAACCTTTCACAAGGCAAAGCCAAAAACATTAGTCATATCAAAAACAATACATGCAAACTCCTCATTATTATTAATGATATTTCATATTTTTGCAGTCTATACTATAATGTCAAATGTTTAAGTTTATAATATACATACATTCATCCCTGGTTCACACATAATAGGGTCCAGGATTAATCCCCAATATTTAAAATATTCCAGAGGATTCAGCTACAGGTGAACAGAACACAACTGTAACAAAGACTTTTTTTTTTTTTTTTTTTTTTCAGATGAAACAGTTGGGAATCTGCTGTGGCATATTGTTAAGTTGAAGCTGTTTGCCATCTCTTCGGACCGTATCAACACACATTTCACACCTATCTGCTCTTTTTGTCTTCACATGGCAAAGTGGAGCTGACAGGAGGGAGGCAGGAGTTCAGAGGGACCGCACGCGATTTATGACCTGGCAGTCAGAGCGGGCCAAATATACAGATGATCTGATTCAGTGTGTGTGTGTGAACGTGCTGGTCAGTGCCAGGCCATGCTGTGTGGATTAACTCCACACTACTGAAAGCAGCCCGATGATTTCTAACAAAGCGGGTTCAAAGGGAAGGCCCGCTCGCTGCTGCTGTGTTTGCGTTTCTCTGGACAGGAACACACTCTGTGGAGTCAAATCACTGCCTGACTGCTTCCTGAGGGATGACCAAGCATTAGGAAGAAAACAGGCCAACAGCTTTTTTCATACTTAACAAACCAACCAACAAACATACTAACAAAGAAAACAGGAGTTCAATACGTTTTTAAGGAGTGTATCTCTCAACAGGAAGTACTATCGAACACCCACACCAGGAAGAAGTAATGAATAATGGAGATGAAGAAATTGTGACTCATAGGTAGTTGATACTAAATAGAAAGTTACAAACTGCATGGGTCATCAAACATAAAGTCGCAATATACTGCAGTTTTTTTAAAGATATGTTTGACCAGAGAGGGCCTTTATTGAGAGACACAGTTTTGAATGGGTGGGCAATGCCTGAACATTCTGCAAGCCGGATTCTGCATATGGTCCGCCAGCTTTAACCACCAACTTGAATAATATTTAGTTTAGCCAAAGTGGTGAATACCTGGTGCTTTGATTGGTACCACCTTCAAACAGGCTGATCCATTTTTAGTGGGTGGAGTAATGACACCGCTGACCACTGATTGGCTAAAGAGATGAACATTGCAGAGGAAGTATTTATTTTAATGTTATTTTATTGAATTGCATTTAAATTGAAAGGTGTTCCTGTTATTTTGTCCATGCAATAAAACACTTTACACCTGCTGCCCATCCAAAAAAAAACTTACAGTAAGATGGCTGTAATACACTAGAGATTTGAAATGTTATTTGAAAGTCGTCTATTTATTTACAAAGCCATCCAATGCACCACTCCCTTACAACTCCACAAGTAGTAGAGTATGTGTGTGAGTTACCTGACTCACAGCTGACTTGGCATCAGCTTCAGTCCATGCATATTCAAAAAGCACAATTGGATGCCCGCATGCCATTGTTTACAGAGGCTCTTGCTGCTGTGTGGTTCCTAATGCAGACCCCAACCCAGTCTTTCTGTCATAGTGGTATTTGTTGAAGGGAGACTGGAGATTTTTTGAGGTAGGGTTGTTAGCGGTTGTAAACCAAAATCAGTAGCTGTGTCCCAATTCAGCGGCCGCATCCTCCTGAGGATGCATTCGGAGACCACATACGTCACTTCCGCCAAACGAAGGCTGTCTCAATA